GCTATAAATAATTCAGATAATCTAATCTTACTTGTAAATTATATGTATTCGTGCTAGGATTTAATATGACTGTTAATACTTAGAATTTATTTTAACATAAGATTTGAAAAAAGACCAGGATTACCAATACAGCTGGCCATATATGTAGGGAATATATATGTGCGTAAGTGTACACGCGCTCTCTATCTCATATATCCTTCCCAGCACGCCTTTCTTCCACATAGATCAGTTAATACAAATCTATTGTCGTTGGCTAACTTGGTGTCGTGAAAATTTGATAAGCGGTGTCAGGTAGATGTAGTATATTTGGATTTTCGCAAAGCGTTCAATCAAGTAAACAATGACATTCTTCTCCAAAAGTTGCCGAAATTGGATGTGGACCTGAATTTATGTTTTTTTCAGTTACCTATAAAATCGTTACCAATATGTTAAACATAGACAAAATAATTAGTAAATTAGTAAATAATTTCACATTTTACTACAATTACTTTAGTTAATTTGTTACATTTTTGTATGTGATTATAAAATTTTACTGTGCTTTTGAATATTGTACGTTATCAACCACTTTTGAAACAAATAATATATTATTATTTTCAAAACTGCTCTGGGTTTAATAACTGTAATTATAACAATAATGATTTCTTCTTGCACTTTACCATATATATAGCTTTTTATTCCCTATGATTGCTTGGAAAAGATCGCCCTAATTATATGTAAGTCTGATTGTACATTAGTATTAATTCAAGTGTTAAATAAAATTAAATAAAATGAATAAATAAATAAATTATATTTGCAAGGCTTTTTTTTACAAATATGACTTGTGTCAACCGTAATAGAACAATACCTGTTATTGTTACGGGTTAACTGACAGCTGACTTTTGAAGTATTAAATTCAATAGAACCTTTTGTTGAATAAAGATTTTGTGGTTTTGGCTTACCACAAGCTAATTGTTTTAAGATAATTGAATGTTTATAAAATATAAAACTAAGTTAAACGATTTTGAATTTTTGAGACAAAGTCCGCTTTAAAATCACTAAGAATTGTATCCATCATATATGTGTAATATGATAAATGTATTTATTGAGATTTTGAGATGGACTACGGGACAACAATGTAACATTAAGAATTAGCTACACGTAATTTACGAAATTGAGTGCCCAAATCTGTGCCTCTCTTATATAAAAATTGTAACTGAAAATATCAAACTAATTATATCATACAATAATGCATAAATCTATACATTTGTTATATGCTGTTTTAAAATATATTTGTCTATCTCAATGTAAAAATATTATACCATAAATTTAGGAATTCCTTCGAATAATAAAAGTAAATTCTATTCGTGCAACTTTCTGTACTAAAACATTGTGAGAAACCCAAAACAACCTTAAAACCGACTATACTGGAATCCTACTAAAGAAATATATAAAAGAAACTGAAATTCGAGATCAAAATTTAGTATAAGTATTCATTATTTTAATCTGTTTATTAAAATAATGAATGATGCTGATATATCATATTGTCGACCAAACTATATATGTATTTATATATAGTAGTCAAGTATTTATATGATTGCTAAGATATGTTATTCATTAATGTTATATTCATGTCCAATAAAATTGTTGCGATGGAAACTAACTAATCTTTATATATGTGGTTTAAAACCGTCAAAGTAGACTCCAATAATATATTTTAAAATACGGAATAGTTTTAAATACAACTTAACATTCTTTGATAAAAAGTACGAAGTACCGTTTGTCAAAATCCTCTTTTCAAAGTCTTTGACATAGGGCTGTCATTCTCTAAACTCAAACCTTAAAGTACACTTTTCAAGCGAATGAAGTCCAATGCTAGTTTTATCACACGTGAAAATTCATATGTGTGTTAAAATAATTCACAAAGTAACTTTAAATAAAAACAGTGGGAATTAAATGATAATTAAGATAAAGCGACTAATTTATATCAAAATAGGCCATTAAACGATGCTTAGTTTAAATTCACTGACCATGTTATTTGATTTTTTATTCATAATCGAGTTAGATATATAGTTCAAAACCGTCCGAACACTGAATTTTTTGCCCTAATTTTCTTTTAAATTTCAAAAAGATTGTTTTACCGAATTAACGGGTGCTGCTGGCGATATTACCGGGAAGGCTGGTTTGCGCTTACATGGACTGCATGTGCCCTTTTTCATTTTATGATTTAATATACGAGTACTTTTAAGCTAACCTACTAATATAATATTTAGGACAATATTGTAACTTACGCAATAATAACCATATTGACTTCTGATTGCTTGAATAAATAAATTATTATTTTTTATCATAAAACGAAGAGATTTTAATCTAAAGATATTTTAGGTAAGTTATTAATATTTACAAATTCAAGTTCAATTATAATTTAATTATTAAAATATTATTTAACCGAAGGCGGTATCCCATCAAAAAGAAACTTACTTCGAAAAAGTCCCATTTTGAAGCATTTTCTCATAACATCAGGAAAAGAAGTCATTTTATTTATTCTCACCATAACATTGAATATTTCACAGAGCACTATTTACTCATTTCGTGTATTTTGTAACAATCCTACGCGAAATGCGCGCGCGCAACAGTGGATCGTATTAAACTGATAGCAGGCGGAATTTCGCGCGAACACAGCGCTCATTGCCACTAATAAAAAACACAAGGAATTATAAAATGCAAGTACAAAGGAATGGACAATACAATTATACCACTTTTTATCCCCAAACTTATGCTAATGTATGACCTAACCTGAAGATCTAATCGCAAGAAATTATCACGTTTAATTTAAGGTTAAAATTTAATTTTAAACTAAAATATTAACTGAAATTGATCCCTTTCACCTCTGTTACAGTTTCGCGTATCCTTTCCAAAATATAAAAATAACTTATCATTTATATATCCTGTATATTGTTTGTAAGAATTCTGTTGGCAATATTTATTAAATATACAGCATGCTGTGTTTGCCTTAATCACAAATCAATAAAATCAGTTTTTATTATTTTTATTTGTGTTTTCCTAGATGTTAGCTTTTATTGTAATGTCCGTTGGCACTATTTCATAGATCTATATTCCAGGCATATCATTATTCCATTTGTCCCTCCTTTCCGAAGATCGCGTTTTGGTTAACGCTATCAAGACTGAGCATTCTGATAAACAAGCTAGGTCTGGATATCCATAGTTGCTCCCTTCACTTAAAAAACGATTTTCGTTTAGTTTTTGTTATTTTAATTGTTTGGTTATATTTGTATTTTTTCTTGTATGTCATGTTTGCCTATAAGTGCTTGTCAGTTTAAAAAAAATATATTGTTGTTCTTTTATTAATGTATCAGTGTGCCGAGCGTTGGCAAGCTTTAAAAAAAAACGACTGCAATTATTTAAGATTACAATGTCACCCAACGTATTAAAATGTGTCCATAATTCACTACAAGCAACATGAAATGTTTTTAAGATAAATAACTTATAATATGTACCAGTGTTCCTTGCAGTAAAACAATAATGTTATTCATGAAATTTATTTTGAGTTAAACATTTTTATCTGTCATTGAAGAGCATTGGTCTAGTTAAAACACTTCTGATTTCCGTATCTGTTTCACTGATATATATTATAGGAAACGAGAAATGGTGCAAATGGAAATAAAAGATAGTTGGCGTACGACGAATAAAAAACGTTTACGAAAAATGGTTACCTATAGTGGAATTTTTATACCACCTGAAGGAAAAATATGCAGTGGATATTGTAATCAGAGAGATCGTAACTTATATAAAGTATCATTTGTGTAAAAGTTTTCAACTATTACATTATTCCTGCAAATCTGATATAGTGAATTGTAAACGGTCGCAAAAGATATTCAAACATGCTTCTATATTTCGTATTGTAAATATAAAGAAAAATATCGAACTTTTTGGAGTTAGTTTTTCGGCTTTTGCTGACCTTGACTCAAATATTGTACTAATAGCGTATATTTGAAAATATTTCTCCCTTTCATATAATTAATGTATGACTCATATTTATTAAGAAATATTCTAATTAAGTTCTTCGCGTTAGTCGCTACTAAAACCATTATCAATTATGATCATTATTTAATTATGCATTAAATAAATGTCCTCAAAATATTATAAAAACTCATGTATTACAATCGTTGTTAAGTTCGAATGTCAGTGACGTGAATTTAATAATTTCCTAAAGGTAAGTGTACTTTTCAATTATTATTTTTATTATAAATATAAGGATTGCAATAACTTTTCGTACGGTCATTGTTATACTAATGATTTTTGTAATTTTCTACAAAAATTTAAACGGACGTGTCTGACTAAGTTATTACTGTGTGTTGAATAAAATAGTTAACATTTTTATATATTTGTTCATATATTTGTTGAAAGTATTTATCTGCATACAAAATCTTATTAAAATTGGTACAAAAAAAACTGTGATGCTAAAACAAAATAAACCTACTAACAATATATGTAACATTTTTTTTTGTTATTATGTAAGCACCGGAATATCACTTAATTAAAGTACTCATCTGCCTCTATTCATCAAAGTGAAAACATAATTTGTCCGAAGCGGACGCATATAAAAAAGTATAAGAAAACTAGATCTTCATTTATCAAAATTATTGTATAAGTTTAGTCTCATTATGTCTTTGTTTCATTATTAAAATCAACCTATCTCGTATAATTGTATTGTAGCTCTTAACAAACGTTTATCATATGTTATAAACCAAATAGATGTTGATACTTTGTTTATCTAGAATGATATTAAAAAATAGGCGCGATAAATATAGGTATGAAACGAAGAAAGAATAAGTGTTGCTTTAAAAAAAATATACAATATACATAGGACCACTTCTATTGTAATTATTGCACACTGTTAGTATAGCTTTTTATTGGTGAAACAAATAGTTTCGTATTTTTTTATTAAACAGCTTATACTCATAATTAATCTTCAATAATTAACGCCTGCTAAAATTTTACAGATGTCATTAACAATAATATTTTTGGCGTGTTGTGTCATCGCAGCAAACGCAGGCACCACTCAGATAAAACGAGACTTGACTGCTCTTGGGTTAATGGGTGAAGACGACCAAGAAGATAGTTTAATGTCAATCATATCTTTTGTCAAAACGCAGATAAAGACCTTCATAGAGGACCTGCTATGGGAAGCTTTTAAGTGCATAAGGACTATGATATTAACATTCAAAAGAAAAGTTTTTAAAAAACTAAAAAATTACACCATATCTGACATTTTTAATTTTTTCTTTGAAGGTATATTTGAGTTTGTTAGTGATGAAGATTCTGGATTAGAGGAGCACCATCATGCTAAAATGGTGCCTTTGGAACCAGCTTGGCTACCCCACAATAGTACTGCTGATCCCTATATAATTAATAGACTTATTCATTCGGGGGAAACGTAAACTCTTTTGGGACGTTGTTTTTAACATAATGTTTGATAAATGTAACAAAGTCCGAATTTACCCACTGTTTTAACTAAATCTTTGGTTCCTCTTATGCTAAGGTTATAAGACTTATTTATTAATAATAAGTTGTTAGGTTATGGTTTTAGATTTAATGTAAAAAAAATATTAATTAATAAAAAGTAAGTTTTAAAACATTGTTTTCATAAATCCTTTGTGAGAGATGAGATGAGAGTGAGTTTATAGAAAATAAAACTGACACGTGCTACATATATATATTAAAGACGTTGTTGTATTTAATTTTAGATAGTACCTATTTTTAAAAGTAAGAAATCATAAGATGTCGGGCATTGCGTTGTTGTGTTGAAACTAAATTTGGTTATTCAAAAAAAAAATTATAAAAAAAACTTATTTCTAAATGCTATCCTTACAGAAGTTATCAAAATAAAATTTAGTCAAAGCAAAAATGCTGACGTAAAATATTGCTAATTTATTCTTCAAAGGCGTTATTTTATTAGCTGTTTTATGCTGTAGTACCATGTTTGCTTGATAGGACCATATTTTTTATCAGAGCAGCCCTGCGATTCTGTAACTCACTTTTCGAACTCACACAGCGGTTTACGCATCGGCGGTCGCTCTCAAATCAGTCGTGAAGCAGTCATTTTATGATTTGGCATTCTGATAAACAATAAACTACAAGCTCCCACCTTTTCAGAATCGCAAGGCTGTACGTTATTCAAAAAGTTAAGTTATCTGTGAGTTTACAATGGTCTCAAAGTATATGCGAAGAGTATATGACGTTACTATTATATTTTCAGAAAACATCAAATTAAAGTTTTTTTTTTAGGTTTTTTCCCCAGTCATGTTTGTTTGTAGCGTCGCAAAAGAGAAAATAGTTTAAAGAACTTTATTTCTCTTACGATTACAGGCAGTCCTCGACTTACGTCGTTTCAAGTAACGTCGAACTATATTTTGACAGAATTCCTCAAGCATACGTCATTTGTTTCGATTTCCCGCATAGGATAATTCACTTGTCTTATGCAAATTTGGAGAATGCCATGAAAATTTTTGAAGAAAATGATCCTAATTTTGAGAGTAGTTTTAACGTTAATAACAAAAGTTGTGCATTGTGCAGCCTATCAGTGTTACCAAGATCTTTATAATAGCAAGAAGAAAGAAGCGAAGCAATCTAGAATTGATAGTTTTTTAAGCCAAAAGTTTAATTTATTATTTCTCATTATATATTTTGATTACATATTATAGTTTTATAATTATTATTAAAATTAATAACACACAAATACCAAATAACTAGCGATTTCATAAGTGCATAGGTATATAATTATTTTAAGAACTTACTTTTGATAATAAAGTATGTATATATTTTGTTATAAATGCAGTTTTTTTTTTAATTTCGAGTCCGTGTGGATCCTAACCCTTGAGTTTTGCATGTAAACGAAAAAATATGTCTCTACTCACGTCGTTTCGATTTACGTCGCGTATTTCCAGAACCTAACATGCCGTAAGTACGAGGACTGCCTGAATACAATACCAAGCTACCTAAGACATCCCAATACCTATTAGGGTTTAAGTACAAAACTGGGTTCTTTAATCAGATACATTTTTGGTAAAGTGTATATGTTGTTGATTTTAAGCGAGAAAAGTGTCATGATCATGAAGAATATTCAATGACATTGGCGTTAGTAATTTCAGCTCACCTTCAATTAAGTTATTATTATTAGATGCCCTCGTTATCTAACGAAACATTTCGACTAAAGTTTTAACATTAATCTGCATTATGTTTTTATTATAAATATTTAAGTATTTTGTTTGTTTTTGCATTCTAAATTATAGAATAAACAGTCCATAAAACACAAAAACACAAACCCATTTACTACCGCTTACTACGTCATCATATCCCCTTTTCTCAAAAACAGTGGCGCTACAACCCTTGTTCTTGGCCTTAGAGTTATGTATCTGCTTCGTGATATTTTTTTTAATAGGCAAGTAGGTGCCGACGGCGTCGACTTTTAGGTTCTAAGACTTGCCGGTATCCTCAGAATCTTTTCCTTCACCGAAAGAGCGAGCGTTAAAAGCGCACATAGCTAAATAGGTCCTTTGGTGCACAGCTGCCACATCAGGGATAAGAGTCAACACTTCTCACCTTTCTATTTTGCCTTAATATATTGCCAGAGCTTCTCTTCCGTTCTACGCCTTTGCTTTGAGAACTGGCAATAAATGTAAAATTAGAAGCATTTAATCTATATTTGTTTTTTGACGCTCATAAGTTAACATTGTGTTACCTATATGAATAAATGATTTTGACTTTTAACTTTAATATTCGTTTGCCTACTACGTTTCTGGTATAGGCTACAAAATTGGGCGTCAGTTTCAGAATGCATATTACCATTGTGTTAGCATGACAAGATTTTCCGAATGTCCGTGTTCCATGTTTATCATGCATACATAAATGTATAACAACACAATATACTACGTTAGTACTTAAGATGTGCGTAGATCGGCCATAGCTCTCCATTGTTTACAAAATTGAGTCATAATGTGTAAATACATAGCTTCTATGATATTATAATGAACAAATACAATAATACATTTGTATGAGATGCGAATCTTCAAGGCTCGTAAAGCAAATAAGTACCTCGAATTTTATCTTTAGTTTTGGGTTCGTAGCAATATATCCAGCTTTCATAACCTGTAACGATGTCAAATACAGCATTTGAGTCACCGCCGCCGAACTTATCTAACATTTGGTGACACCAGTCCATGCGAAGGTGTTTCTGGTCGTCGGTTAAAGTATGGGGAATCCATCTGGTACAAAGCTTCCTGACGCCTAAATGTTCGTGTAATATTTTTTGAACTTGACTCATACCAATGCCTAGGCTTGCCCTGCTGCTGATAGGTCACTCTCTTATCTTCCTCTATTATGCGTCGCACAGCACTGATGTTTTCTTCGGTAGTCGCTGTTAAATTAAAGGACGTCCCTCACGCGGGACGCGGGATCTCATCATTGAGATTGCTACGTCCACGCTTAAACTCGTTAAACCAATTTAAAATAGTGGCACGAGATGGGGCCTAAGAAATGCTAATCGCTGCCTATCATAGCTTTGTTGTTGAGTTAGCCACAGCGAAAGTCATAAATCATTGACCGAAAATTTTCTCGCGTTAGGTTCATTTTCACGTGTAACAGAGTTTGATATTTGCCGCCAATTCACAAAAACAAGTGACAAATGAATGCAATATACTACATTAGGTTACCAAAGAGTTCTAAAATTAAAATTCAAAAAAGTTTTCATTAGCAATGTTTCTAACTGGCCCGTTTTAAAAATTTTCAGTGTTATCCACGTATATAAATGAACAACAGTTATTCATTAGCAAAGGTTCCTTGTTACAACTCTATTTTTGTTAAATGTAGCAAATTCCACTCATTACATAACTAATTTAGAAAATGTGTATTTAATATGTTAACATGTGTTGAATTAATTAATGGTAACGAGCAAAAATTATTTTTATTGCAACGTTACCCCCCCGCGTTCCCCCCGACAAATTGATTGTATGAAGTATGCCCAGCTATCGCGACCCATCGTCGACCCCGTGGACCCGCGGTGGCGGCGGCGGGGTCTGCGCGGCGGCGAGTGAATCAAATGCACTCGGGAGTATCGAGGCGGCCACAGCGCGCGCGCCCGCAGTTACCTTAGCTCCCACCAAAACAAATAATTTTGTTTTTATCGCGCATTGAGCTCTTAAAATGGTACAAAACAATTTATTAGGAAATACTGATCCACATTTCCTCCCTCATAATATAGCATGTTATAAAAAAATTGTGGGCGAAATAAAACTAATAAAACAACTAATTACTCTAAATACTCCACCGCTGATGGCGCCGGGTCGCAACTGGTCGAGCTGTGGCATACCACCGCAAACCGCGCCTCTCCAGACCCTCTTGCCGCGCCGCGCCCACACCGCCAGAAACTGTGGCCAAGCTCTTACAACAAAACAAAGGGAACTTATGTAAAACTATATTGCTGCAAATGTACTGCATTTTGGAGGGTTGCGAAAATATGCAACATTTGTTATTCTAAAAAAATATTTTAAATAATATAATCCACAAAGTTGCTATCTTCGTTGCAAACATCCTTCTTTACTTCGTTATAAACATTTTACGTAAAATAATATAGCGTAAATTCTGATTGCATGCTTTCTTGTCGTTCCACAGGACAAGAAGCCAGTCATTTTATAATTTGGCATTCTGAAAAGGTGGGAGCTTGTAGTTTATCAGAATGCCAAATCATAAAATGACTGCTTTACGACAGATTTCAGAGCGACCGCCGAAGCGAAAACCGCTGTGTGAGTTCGAAAAGTGAGTTACAGAATCGCAGGGCAGATAGCCACATCAGTTATTGTAATGCTAAATGCTTATGTCAAAATTTGTATCTAATTTACTATTGCAGCAAATACGCGAAATACAGTAGTGGTTTGTGTATTCCAAAAGGTTTTAGTTAAATTATAACTAACTGTATTATGAAAGTGAGCAGTGTAAGCTTGCGTTTTCAACTGCCTTAACTTTTCTGAATTGAACCGGCATGTCTTAGACCCAACAATCGCTGACATGTGTTATGCCATATATCCACAGGATTAATTGTAACCCAATTGGGTAGGGAAGTGGACAGCGTGAGTATGCACCCGGGCTGCCAATTCTACTAATATGAGTGTGAACACTCACTGGCGACGTTATTGCAACAGGAAGTATTAATGGTAACATTTCCGGAAGCTACAGCTGCAGTAGCAAGGGCTCAGTGTTAATTTGATATTCAGCGCAGAAGGCTGATCGATCGATGGTAAAACTGCGTTAAATATCGCGTTGAAAAACTATACATTTGGATTCAAAACCTTGAAGGTTTTATGTAACATTTAAACGTTTGGTACTACGATAGTTTTAATCCTCGTTACATCGGGTAATGACCCTGTAAATGGCAAAGATAACTTGT